GAGCAATGATTAGTCGAGCATTTTTTCGAAGCGGTGTTGATTATGCCGGTCCGATCAATTTACGTACATCCAAAGGTAGAGGGCATAGATCTTATAAAGGTTACATATGTTTGTTCGTTTGCATGTCAACCAGAGCTATACACTTGGAACCGGTAAGCGATTTGACTGCAAATGGATTTTTAGCTGCATTCAGACGGTTCACTGCACGTAGAGGACATTGCTCTGAATTATGGAGCGATAATGGTATTAATTTTGTGGGTGCATCTAGAGAGTTAAGGTCGTTGTATGCACAGGAAAGAGATTCCCTAACCATAGAAATCGCAAATGAGCTTGCTAACAATGGGACTAGCTAGCATTTTATTCCCCCACATTCTCCTCACTTCGGTGGCTTGTGGGAGTCCGGCGTGAAATCAACAAAACACCATCTGAAAAGAATAATTGGGAACACAACGCTTACCTTCGAAGAAATGACTACAGTTTTATCTCAAATTGAGGCGTGCCTTAATTCGAGGCCTATATCTCAGATTAGTCAGAAGGTAGAAGATCCGTTGCCACTAACCCCCGGTCATTTTTTGATTTTAGAACCAGTATTACTTCCACCATATATTAATTAAACAAAAATCTAAAATAAGTATGTTAAAACGATGGCAATTTACTCAAAGACTAGTGCAAGACTTTTGGAGACGATGGTCGCGGGAGTACCTTACTCAATTCCACCACCCATATAAATGGACACATAAGATTCCAGAACCACAGTTAGGTGACATTGTGTTGGTAATAGAAAATGATCTTCCGCCAGCACGTTGGCTTTACGGTATCGTAGTTAAAAAGCACCCTGGATCGGACGGGATCACTAGAGTAGTTAGTTTACGTTGTAAAAACAATATTATAAAGAGGTCTGTATCAAAACTCTGCTTTTTACCAATAACTAAATAATAACAATTTTATTATTTTTTGTTTCTATATTACATTTTATTATTTTGGTGTTGTAAGTTTTCATAACTGCATGTTCTACTTTATAATGTGTCTACCACTCACCAAGAGTTATTTAAATTTAATGTAGTGGTCCAATGTAGTGGTGGGCGGATTTGAAGAACAATTGACATTGTCCTTGGTGGGCGGTATGGTCAACGTTCTTATCATTAATTAACAAAATGTCAATAGATGGCGCTAACTGTATTTTGCCTCGCGGTATAATTTTCGCTGTACATTTATATAAGTAGTCTAAGATTCTATTGTTTAATATACCATTCAACCGTACTGAAGTAGAATAGAATAGAATAGAATAATTCTTTATTGTACATAAACACCAATTATAGGTAACAATGATATAAAACAAATAGTACAATCGGCGGCCTTATCGCTAAGAAGCAATTTCTTCCAGGCAACCGTTACCGTTTGGAAAAAAAAATTAATTTAAATCTAAATTAGGTAGTCTATGGTGTCATAAATGTACATGATATAAACATACATACGAGTACATAATTATCATACATACTACATATAGCTATAAATATCATACATACTATAACTGGATATAATGTAAAAGTTTATAATGACAGATAGTGCTCCTTTACTAGATTTTTGAAACTATCTACCGTTTGCGCACGTCTTATATTTTCGGGCAATGCATTCCAGAGATGGGCAGCTTGAACTATAAAAGATTTGTCAAGAAATTTTGTGAAATGCATTGGTGTCTCCAATTTTAAGTTCTCCGATGATCTCAAAACTCGAGTGTGGGTATTATGAAGGAAATTAAAACGTTCCTTAAGATAAGATGGCGAAAGTGGATTAAACAAAACACTGTAAAGACGGGAAACAATATGTGCATTCCGGCGAAGACGAATCGGAAGCCACTTGAGTTTTGCACGGAAATCGGATACATGATCATATTTTCGTAAACCAAATACGAATCTGATACAGAAGTTTTGTAACCGCTCAAGTTTGTTAAGTTAGCTCCTCAGTAAGGTCAAGATAGCTAACGTCTGCGTAATAAATGGGGAGAAGGAGAGCTTGTGCCAGCGCAGTTTTAGTGGCGAGAGGGAGGAAATTGCGCAGTCTTCTTATGGACCCAGCCGCAGCAAACATCTTACGGCTCACTTCCTGGATTTGGGGACCCCAAGTGAAATTTTTGTCAATTAGCACACCCAAATTCCTAACACAATTACTTGGAGTTAATGTGATACCGTCAAATGTAATCAAAGGTAGTTGAGAACAGTCGATTTTATTAATCATCGTAGAGTTGCCAACAATAATGATTTGAGTCTTGGATGGATTTATTATTAAACCATATGATTTACTCCAATTTGAAATTCGATTCAGATCATCATTCACATTAGTAATTACTTGATGAAGATCGATTAGTCGTGCTTGGGAGTAAATTTGCAAATCATCTGCATAAAGGTGGTAGGACGAAATAAGTTGACTGGAAATAGAATTGATAAAAATAGCGAAAAGTAATGGAGATAAAACGCCACCCTGTGGCACCCCAGCAGATATATCGCTCCAAGCTGAAAAAGAATTGTCAATGCGAATTCGCTGTCGGCGACCAAACAGGTAACTATGAAACCAGTCAATTACCGCTGGAGTTATGTTAATAGAGCGCAGTATGCCAAGCAGAATTTCATAATCTACAGTGTTGAATGCATTGCTGAAGTCAAGCAAGGATAGGATCGTAACCTTTCCATTTTCCATTTCTGACCTTATGTCGTCTGTGACTTTGACCAATGCCGTTGTTGTACTATGCCCAGCACGGAACCCTGACTGGTATGGATTAAGGAGGCGATTCTTGAGAAGGAAAGTCGATAATTGGTTATGGACAAGGCGCTCTAATACTTTAGATAAAAAGGGTAGGATTGTTATGGGTCTATAGTCGGAAGTGGATGATGGTTTGGATTTTTTGGGTAATGGGATGACTTGAGCATCTTTCCACGCAGATGGAAAGACCCCAGTCCTTATAGAGTAATTAAAGATGTGTGTAAGGAGTGGAAGAACTTCATCTAAGATAAGGAGTATCATTTTTCAGCTAATACAGTCACTACCTACGGCCCCTGATGATATTGACATAATGCTCCCCTTAACATCACAGTCGGAAAATTGACGAAGAGAAAATGATGGATATTTAGGGCTTGGAATAGAAGAAAGAAAACTCAAAGTATCCAACTTTTTTGTCGAGTCAAAAGTATAAGAGGAACAGAACTGTTTGTTTAGCAGGTTCATGTCGAAATTAGTATTAGAAGATTACCAATGCCCATAGATCTAAGGAATTTCCAGATTTTTGCTGGATCAGCTTTTTCAATCGAGTTGTGAATAAATTGGCGCTGTGCATTCCTACACATCTTATTGCATTGATTGCGGATATAGATATATTTTTCCCAATTAGTAGGAGTGGGACGACATTTATATCTCGTTTTGGCGGCTGCTTTACGTTCTGATATCTGTTTAATATCTTGCGTAATCCAAGGTGACGGTCGGTGCTTCATCTTGACTGGATGAATTGGCGCGTGTACATCATAAAGCGCAGTGAGATTCGACACAAGAAATTGAAGTTTGCCATCTACAGAGTCACAATTGAGAAGCTACGACCAATCCATATTAGCTGCATCGTCACGGAGCTTATCAAGATTGACACCACTAAAATTGCTGCATGCACAGAATTGAGGGCTTAGCTTTCGGTGGACGCGTTTTATATGATAGGAAAATCAGATCATGATATGAGAAGGCATCAGCTGGGAATTGTCCATGTTTAGCAACATGATGAAGAGAAGAGACAATAAGAGATCTAAGAGAGAAGGAGAACAATTTGGAAAATGATGGGTAGCATTGAGTGCTGGTATATGTAAATTACTTGATTGCAGGACAGTTCGAAAATTTGCAGAACGCATGTCATTCTTGAGAAGACATGTATTGAAATCACCCATTATTATAGTATGACTGTAAGAAGGGCACAGAAGCTCAAGCTTATTTTCAAATGAAGAAAAGAAGTTAATATGAGATGATGGGCTATAGTACACCCCCAGAAGAATTTTTGCATGTCTCAGTCCAATCTCAAGGAAGAGATGCTCGCCAGCATTAGCTGGAGGTGGTTGAGATGACATATCAATCACAGAGAAAGGAATGTATTTACGGAGATAAATGGCGACACCACCACCACCACCAACGCAACGATCATTCCTAATGAGGTTAAAATCGGGTAATGAATATGAAAGGGAAGGAAGACATGGTTTGAGCCATGATTCAGAGACAAGAATGGCATGGATGTTCTTACAGTCAAAGGTTGTCAGCATATCTGAAAAATGGGCCGGAATACTCTGGGCATTTATATGAACCACATTGAAGTTTCTAGGAACATCAGAGAAACAGGAATTAAGAGAATCAGCCAGTGAAGGAATGCTTATAAAACTATCGTTATCGCTACTATCAGCAGATAGAAAACTGCTGGAATCACTATCATTCATTAAAAGTGACATTATTTATAATAATAAATAGATACTATTTAAATAAATAACAATACAATTCAAATATCACTAATACAATAAAACCCTTTAAGACACCATAACCACCCGCTCATGCTCACCAGAAAAGACAATAATAATAAAAACAAATATTAATGTACCATATTAACAGTACAACAGAAAAAAAAAGAAAGTTAAGATAACATTAAGAACAAATTTGTGATTCAACAAATTATGACAACCTTAGATGATAACTTGACAATGACATTGAGTGATAGTGACAAATATGTAGTATTTGTAATATCTCGGGATGTTGGCAAAATTTCCGTGTATAACGGAACAAGTCCATATTGAAAAAAAAAAAAAATTCTATCGTATATTAATAATATTAATTTACCTTAATTTGTGAAACAAAGTGAATTATGAGTAAAATTAAATTCATTTGTAGGTAAACAAGATCAACTGCGATGCTGGGATGATAATATCAATTTGCTTACATGATGAATATTTGCTTCAGCCACTACGAACGAAGTCAGCAATTAAAAACTATTTCTTGACGCCCGCAGCCCTCCTAGCTTTTGGCACTGCCTTTGAAGTTGCCACAGGCTTTGCGGTCTCGAATTGTAACGATTGAAGCTCTGCGATAGTGGTTAAGCGGTGCCTAGTATTATCAGGACTGAGTATGTGAATAATATCTTCCTGTGTCCAACATCGGTTTACTCCAAATTTCTCACGAGCCGCAATAAAAGTACTTCGGCGAGATTGAGTCAAGAACTCCGAGATAGTTGTACCAGAACCCTTAAGCTTAGCTTTACTAAACCAGACTTGGTCACGGATGGCTGCCTGCTCGAACTTAATGATGATAGGTCGAGGCTTATCGCTGGTGTTTTTTGATTGGCCCATTCTGTGACACCGCTTGATGTCCTTCAGTGTGAACTCGCTGATTTTTAATTTATCCACAATAAACCCTACCATCAGCTGTGAAAGGTCTTCATTAGCCTGCTCCTGAACACCATGCAACAAAAGCATCTTTCTGCGGCCATGCATCTCGAGCCTATCAACTGTCTTTGCAAGGACATGAATCTGCGACTGAAGGGTGTTCAACGTCCCCAGCATGAATGACTTGAATGAGGTAAACTCAGAAACCAGGTCCGCTGTGCTGGTAGTGGGTGCATTTGGAGTCTTCTGCAACTGTGCTCATTTATTGGGGATTTGTATACTACTATTTGCCTTAGAGTCCTGTTGCTTCAATCCATTTATTTTTAATATGAGGATCATACGGAAAATTAAAACATTACAGTACAATTCAGTATAAAAATAAATTATCATTTCTTCTGCATTCAAAAACGATATTTTATTAATCGAGTAAAAAAATCGCATTGTACAGCACTATTCTTCATTTTTGACAGAAAAATTGATAATTTATCCTTCAACAAATTGACCTTGAATTATACATCGATGGTTTTACAAGCACAGCAAAATTTGGACTGTCAAATTAAAGTCGCAATGGAAAGCTATTACTGGACACTTGATGGTTTTGATAAAAATAATACGGAGCAACAAAACAAATGATTTTTTATTCAAAATAGATTTATCAAGACAAATAGTTACTTACCGATGGAAGGAAATACCTCGACTATAAGATCCAACTATATTGGTGGTGTTTGAGCAAGTAATTATCGAACAACACGTCATTTTAAACTTCATACCTGACGTCCAACACCGATTGCGATTAAAAGTGGACTGAGCCTCGCTGCTGTCTAGACGTCCGGTCGTTTCGGCACGCGAAGTACGTACACTTTTCTAACTAGATTTATTTGATTTTAACTGTGGACTACGACTACTTGTTTAATATCAATAATGACATATTATTGATCATGAAATATTACGGTGATTCTAAATAATCAGTTGTTATCGACTATTATTTCCTAATCGACGATTAACCATCGATTATTTCTTTAGGCGTTAGCATAGGAATAGTTTAAAACGTTACTATAGTACCTAAGTAGGTACGAAGTTACGAAGTAAAGTAAGTACTTTACTTCGATGGATGAGCAACCGATAGTGGATCGCGAGTGTGAATATTATTAGTAGATATTCTAATACTTGTTATGGCAATCCTGGAATACTCCCACGAACAAATAGGTAACTTTACTCTTTGATCGGGGATCTCCCGATGAATGAATGAACGAATCTTACAGTTTTATTTTAACAAATACAAATTAACCATTTCTTACTAAATGCACCTGTAAGGCTACACGGTACATATCTATACTAAAATAATATTTTTTACAGTTTTTGTCTGTCTGTTTGTTCCGGCTAAACTCTGAAACGGTAAGACCAAATTTGACGGGACTTTCACTTAATACTAAAAGTGGCCGCATCTCTACCTTTTCGTTATCCCACAGTGGATCTTTTTAGGGAATGGGATGTATTGACAGTCAGGCAAATATTTATACTATCTATAATAAAAAAGAAACATTCACAATTACACTATGATCCCATGTTGCTCAGAAATAAACGGAGAAAGAGCAACGTATGCCCCAGCAAATCATTAAAAACTGCGGCCTCGCATCATTATTTCTGCTTTCTTGGCTCATATTTATATAACAAACTAAATAAAATCCTCAATATTTACCACCTTCCGAAATACGCTTGCAAATCAACTGTGACTAAATACCTAAAAACCCTTGACTATCAAGCTACTGAAAACCTTCTTATCCCACTTAAGTAAATGTTTGGTTGGAAAAAAAAAAAAAAAAAAAAAAAAAAGTAAACAATAAAAGGTCACAACTTACCATCTTAAATAATTTTATATACACAAGTAATAAATTCAGTCTCCACAGTGTTAACTCACACTCACACACACACACACACACACACACACACACACATACACACACACACACACACACACACACACACACACACACACACACACACACACACACACACGCGCGCGCGCGCGTGCGCGCGCGTTCACACATATATATATAGAAATGGCGACATTTTGACTGCATTCTCTTTCGTTTTGGTTCTTCATTTATGTTATATTTTATCTGTGGGGAGATCCTGGTGACCTGACACACAGGTTTCTACTGAAACCAATTTCGGGCTCCAGTCTCTCACAAAATTAAGATACAAAATGTTTTTAAGAATCTTAAGACACACATGTATGTACATAATTTTGTGTTGAGAGAATAAATGATTATTATTATTATTATATTATTATATTATACTTAATAAAATAAGGAATTACTAATGCTACTTTCTACGCAAACGAAATCGAGGGTACAGCTAGTTTAATTCTATAAATTTTGCATGTACAATGCTGATATAGTAAACATTGTCTTAAAATTGATTTTAACTATTATTCAATATATTGGAGTGCTTTAAAATACGGGGGAATTAATCTGAAATCATCAATAAATTTTTGGGGTAAAAATCATTGACACGAATCGATTATTAATGATTATTAATAGATTACGAGTAATACTGTAATCGATCAATCGATGTGTATAATATTCGAATCGGCACATCATTAATTTCTATTCATTAAATAATTGGTTAAATACTCAACTTACCCAGTAAGGGATTATATTTTATCTCTACACTTTTAAGTGTTTCTTATATTTATTTAAACCGTTTTTTATATAGATATTTAAAATAAAAATATGTCGTCAGTCTAAGAAATAGAAAAATCGAACAAACTATTTTTTTTGAAAAACGTTACACAGCTGTTTTCAAACGAGATTCATTTGTAAGGGCGCTTGTGCACTGAATTTTCAGTTCCGGCGGTCCGATTTTTCACTGAAATGCACTGAATTTTCAGTTCCGGCGGTCCGATTTTTCCGATATGTCAAGCCATATGTTTACCTACATGCTTGTGCTTGTGCACTTGTGCACTGTCAGGAATTTTACCGCCCGGAATTTTACGTTTATCTATTCTGGACCGGCTTTTTCAAGTCCTTGATGGCGGCAAAGCAAAACGTGTTTACGCTTGTGCACTGCTGTGTCCGCTATCCGGAAAATTCATGAGCCTGCGTAGTAGGCCTGGGAAAAAATAATCAATTTATGAAAAATCGATATTTATTGTATTAAAATTATAAAATGCGATATTTTATATGATGATTTTATATAGTTGGTAAATATCACTGCATAAGCCTTGGCAAACTCGATATAGTTCTAATTTGATTTGATCTGTATGGTTCTAGTATTGATACTTTGCTATATACAAGATTTTTTTTTTTATTTGTCGTCGATCTAGCTTTTTGAGAATAGATTATTTTTGGGAGCATACACTTGTTGTAAATTTGGGTACTTCGAATATGTAATGTTCAGATTCCGTGGCCCATACAAAGCGCAACGATATACAGTGATATAATATCGATATAATTATCGATATGTCGGAAAGTCATACGGGGCCGGCGGAAAGTTAGGTTAGTCAACATCCGCAATCTGACTAGTGGTCGAGATATTCCTTCGAAATAAGATCGCATATAGGTCACAAATCAGTTATTTAGTTGAATTACTTAATTATCTAATCGGAGTACATTAATAATAACTCGATGCAAACAGATTGCGATACGAAACGCGGAGAGTTCTGCGCTTGCGTTCGCTCAATATGGCCGCATAACGTAAAGTGCCATCTTCGAACAAGCATAGACCACTCCCAAGCGATGACAGCCGTCAATGTCATAACTTGACGTTTCGCAAAGCACCATAGATCTTGACAGATGACAGCTGCAGGTGATAGATGGCGTTTCGCACAATCGAAGCGCCTTGTCGCCGACAGATATTTATTGTAAAGTATATAATTCGAAATTTTGGATGATGATTTAACATACTTGGTAAATATCACTGCATATGCCTTAAAAAATATAAAAATTATTGAAACAAAATTACTACTTTTTTATGTGATTCGTTTAATCATGGACTTTGCCATACGATACTGTTAATTAAAGCGGAATAACTTGGTATACAAGATTTGTTGCATTGGCTTGCTTCATACCTAATTAATCGTCCTCAACTCGTTTCGCTTAGTGGGTATGAATCGTATCTATTTATTCCGAGTTCGGGGGTCCCACAAAGTTCAAAAGGGCCGCTTCTGTTTTCAATTTTTATTAACGACCTTCTAATCAAAATCGAAAGCGAATGTCTTGCCTTTGATGACGATATAAAAACTACTCTCATTGATACAGAGGATTGCGGTGTTTTGCAACTTAGTCTGAATGTTGTTGCTGACTGGTGTGTAGCTAATCACATATCACTTAACACTGACTAATGCCAGGTGATGACTTTCATAAAGAAGAAAAATCCTTTGATTTATTGTTATAAAATCGGCGGTAGTGCTCTGAGTCGAGTTGGGACCCTTCGGGATTTGGGAGTATATTATGATGCTACTCTTACTTTTCGGCCCCATTATGATTATATCTGCAGTAGGGCTAAACAATGCTATCCTTCATTCTACGCCAAGCCAAACCTTTTAAAATATAAAAACTTTGCTAATTTTATATGGATCGCTGGTGAGAAGTGTTTTGGAGTATTGCTCATCAGTTTGGTACCCTATTTATCGAACTCATATTGATAGAATAGAAGCTGTTCAACGTAGATTCGTACGCGCCTTATGCTCAATGTGGATTGGGTAGAAAACTGTCTCAATACTTTGAATGCCTTAGCTATTTGAATATGACGTCATTAGAGCAACGTAGACGGATGTACGATTTGCGCACTTTGCACAAAATGGCTAATGGGTTATCTGATAGTAGTCTGCTGGGAAAACTCTTAATTCGGACGCCGACTCGGTCTCCGCGTTCGCAGCGATTGTTTTCTGTACCCCCTTCTAAAAATAATGTCTCACAAAGTAACCCTCTTAACAGAATGTGTACTCATTACAACGAAATCTGTTCCAGTTGTGATATCTTTAATTGTAGTGTTCCTTTAATAGTAAGTCCTAATAATTGAGACTGTAATAATTATGAATAGTAAACACGTGTAAAAGAAAAGAAAAAGAAAAATACTTCTATTATATTATATTATATTATGGATACACTTACTAATATATATTTTTAAATGTTTTAACAATATTTATAATTCATCGTTTACAAATTAAATAC